AATCATTTAATTTCCCATTTTAAAGAAAAAAGACAAATGATGCTGTTCCATCTCCAAGGGAGTAACAAATCAAGTAAAAAATCATTATTTACTTATTGAATAGAGAGATAAATCCACCCACTCCCTTACAAGAGTAAACCAGGCCTCAAGCAAAAGACATCAGATAATCCAGCCACATATTCTCAGTAGTTCGCATTATTTAGTGGCACTGGGTTTCTTATTTTTTTAAACAAAAAAACACAAACAAATGCCTATTGCCAAAAAGACTCAAAAAGCCACAAGATCATGGCTGATCTTGTTTATTTCTAGAAAACCTGCTAAACCACTGAAGGACACCATACCACCACTGAACTTATTTTTTTAGAGTTAGTCACTTTCAAACCTTGACAAATAACTACAGAATGTCCATAAATTGTTTTTTATACCTAGGAATTCCAACTCTAGCTTAAATGTTAATTCAAGGCCTAGAGGTGATGAACATATCCTTTATAATTTGACAGGCAGGTTACAACAGATTTGTTAGATCATAATTACATATCTGTTAAATTATATGGCTCAAAGAGAGGAAATATTGAAAAAACAGTTTCATACTCTAAAAAAGGACCTACATATCTAAAAGTGAATGGAAATTCAAGTTTTTAAATCATTTCTTCCCAAAAGTACAAATGTTCTATATATTTTGGATTCAGCTAAGAATAAATGCTAGTAATAAAAAGTGGAAGTCCTAAAACAAAGGAACTGGGAAAATGATAATTAAGAGTGGTCTTACAACCATCTGAAGTTAGTGGTACATTTTCCTTCTTAGTGAAGGCACCCAAATATCTGAAAGTATAGAATTCATACTTCCCAAATGGACAACTGGGTATTCTAAAATTTGCCACAAAAACCAACAGCAACAAGCTTTTCATTTTAGTGGTACTCTAGAGTTTAAACAATTTAACAATTGTTTCTAGTATAAATGTGTACTAAAGGGTACCACTTACTAGGACTATGCAGCATTAAGTAACATCCAAGAAATAAAATAAATCTTCCTACAATTCATACATAACTGTTAGTATATATTACAAAATATCTAGGAATATTTTTTAAACCATGCATAAATTGATGAGTGAAGACTAATTTTTACAAATTGTGAAAACACAAAGATTCACTATCCAAAAGAATAGTATATCTACACTTCAAAATGGCTTGGGTAGAAGGTACTACAAATGCAGATACCAAGATGAAAAGAAGCATGAGAACAGATGTATAGAACAAGAGAGTAAACATGACAGGAATGGAAAGAACCCATTTAGTACAACCCATGATAAATTCCAAATGAAAAGCAGATATACAAGACCCATTTTATAGACTCCAAAAACTATTCCTGATTAAAAAAAAAAAATCTTCCCCCAAATCAGCTTCCCCTCAGAATTCTTCCAGTTCTATCAATAATGGCAAGTATACTAATAAGACTTGAAATCCTAGAAACATTAAGTCCTCGTGGTTCCTCAATACTCTATTCATTCTTCCTACAAAATGTCTCTAGGTCTGCCCTTTCATTTTCTCTGGCAGACCACAAAAGTATCTTCTCTCTCCTGCACTATTAGTGAGCTTATTCATTTGTTCAGACCAGCTGCATTCATTTGGACATTTAGGGTGTACTCACTGAAAACAAACTATTCCAAGAGAAGATGGAGACATGGATCACATTAATATTATATTGCAATGCCACCATTTTATTAGGGCCCTATGATGTGTCATCAGCCATTCTTACACAAGATTATGCTATTTAAATCCTTACCACATCCTAAAACGTGAATATGATTATTGTTTGCAAAGCAAGGAGTCTGAGGCATAAAGAGATAAAAGAAATCTCCCTAAAGTAAACTGCCAGGTGAATTTCACATGAGCTCTGACTCTTTCACTTGGTGAATCTATCACACTAACTCCTAAGCAGTCTTTCCAATCTACCCTACCTAGTGCTTCCAGATTCATCATATTGCTAAATACTATTCTTACTTGTAACACCCTGGCTCTAAAAATTCCATTTCTTTTGCCTGATTTTCATCTGACTTTGTCAGAGAAAATAACTGAATCCTGTTTTTTCCTTAGTAGTACTAACTCTTATAAGTCTCTTAATTTCTTTAACCTTCAGTTTTCTGAAGCTGGAATTGTATAATGATTAAATTAAAATATGTAAAGGATAAAAGATACTAAACTAGTTATTCATAACTTCTATATAAAAACCTTTTGTTTTAGACAATTTACACCTTCTCTTACAAAAACCATGTATTTTTTTTATCAATTCACATTATTACCTCTCCACTAAAATTAAGCATTCTATAAACATCTACTATAGAAATCAATGTCTGTCCATCCTTATCGTTAAATTAAAAGTCCTCTTTCCAAAACTCATTCCCTGGACAAAATGAACTTTACCCCTAAATGCCACTTGGGGAAAGGGAGAAAGAAAAAATGCATAATTATTCAAGTCCTACTATGATCTAGAAAATATTAAATATGTTTTCATGCATTATTTTATTTCATTTCATTCTCACAGAGAAAATTATATATACACAAAGTCAAACAACTGGCAAATGATAAAGCTGAGATATGTAGATATCCCAGACTCCTTTTAAAAGCCCAATTTTTTTCTCATCCCATCACCTTGTATCTTGACACATGGAAATATAGGTTTAATCAACAACTATCCAACACTTATAAAGGCCAAAGTGTTGCTATATGCTCTTAGTAGCCCCATCCACATATACACATAAAACTGAAACAAAACTATCATGAAATGTTTACCCATAGTAACTTTAATATGCTTTGACATTTTCTAATCTCTTCCTTTTCACTTAAAACAAAATACTTCTAAGTTCCTACTAATTTCATTTCACAACCACTGAAGAATAGCAACCCAAAATTTGAAATACTGAACTAAAAGATACAAGACCACATGAGGTGGAAAAGTTATCCTCAAGAAGTATTTAATCTAGTTGGAGCTTATAATAGTAAAATATAACTCTTTTTCTAACCCCCTTCCACCTGGCAGAAGTGGGAGAATCTATGCTCTGTGGCTCCCCTGAGCTTTCCTATCACAGATTATAATTAATAAACTATCTAGGCTGGGGATAGAACAAATACCAGATATTCACCAAACATTTGTTGAAAAAAAGAATGAATGAATGAATGAATGTGCTATGGATTTTCAGAGGGAAAAATTACATAGCATAAACTTTCTTCTTCTCTACTTCATAATCCTCTGCAGTCAAGAACAGTATCTTTTTCTTTGTGGTGCTGGAGATCAAACCCGGGACCTTGTACATGCTGGGCAAGCACTCTACCATTGAGCTACATTCCCAGCCCAAGAACAGCCTTTTTGTACAGCTCAATTATCCAGAGTTCATTGATGTAAACGTACAACTAAAAAGAAATCTGGGATTGGGGGTATAGTTCAGTTATACAACATGTGCCTAGTATATACACAAGGCCCTGGGTTCAATCCCCAACACAACAAAGTCAGAACAATGGACTGGCCACAATTCACAAAGAAAAGAAGATAAGCATGAATTTTTGCCAAAGAAAATCAAGGAAACTATTTCCAACTCCCATAAGTCTATACTGACCTCTATTCTAGACTTTTACTATTCAAAGTGTGGCCTGTGCATCATCACTACCTGAGAGTCTGTTAGAAATGCAGCTCCTCTGTCTCCTCCCCAAGACCTACTGATTCAGAACCCCCATTTTAATATGACCCCAATACACATTAAAGGGGATTCCTAATACACATTAAAGTTTGAGAAACACCATTCTATAGCATAAGGCTATGAGGTTCCTGTAACCTCAGAGAAAGTCATCCTCTTCTCCCATTGTATCTCTGTAATAACTAATCAGACTTTTAAAGTGATATTACAGATATAATCACAATACACTTCCAGGCATGTCAGAGTAAAAATCCAAATTATGATTTCAGTAAGGGTAATTAACTGACCATCCATTGAATATAGAATGGAACTTTTAGGCAACACACACACAACCAAGCAAAAAGCAAAACACGAAACAAAACCCACACACCCAAAAAAAAAAAAAAAAAAAAAACTAGACAAA